CGGGGCAGCCATTTAAATTTAAATGAAGCCGCGATTATTTTAATCGCGGCTTCATTTCCCTCTTCCCATCTGGCTAATCTACATGCCTCCGTCGAAGGAGGCATGTAGTCTAGACACACCCCAGGGGATGTAAATAGGGAATGGAACATGGTGGAAAAGGTTGGCCTAAGAAATTCAGGGGTTTGTATAATCTTTTTGAGATTTAGTCCTGTGAAACTGCATATTTACTTTGTCATAATTATCAGTGTCAGTTTGATGTGAGGCTGACTGCTTGGCAATAAAAATACTTGTTCAAAATAAAAAAAGAATAAAGATGAAATGGAAGACTAAAAAAACTGCCATGCACAGAATAGGGGTTATAAATACTGATGCAATTTTTGTTTTGTCCAGGCTGATCCTTTCATGTAACCTTTCCCCCCATCTCTCTCTGTTTATTGCAAATACAGAAAAGATTCAGTTGGAAGGAAGCCAGCATCTAACCTCAGGCAATGATTAGTGAATCCGTTTGGAGAAGCACTCTTATCTTTGACAGACAGCAAGATCTCCAAAAGTCTGATCTATCAGCAGCTGTCAGAGTTGGAGACTTGAAATGTGCAGGCTGACTTGTGCGGAGTTCCACCAACAGACACAGAACATTCCTCTCTTTTTAGGGCTGCATATGTTGTGTGTCAGTGGGTAGACATCTCAACTGAAAAGATGTTAGGCCATCACATGCTCGAACAGCCCAGCTGTTTTTCTGATGGAACTTGCATGTTATCTAGTGGCATGAGCACAGTACTTGGATCCAGGATCTCATGAGATCTCATTATAAGGCTCCCTATAACAGAGTCATTTCTACAAACATGTGAAATTTAACAAACAGCTCATTTGGTAACAAAACATGGAAACCTGTAAAACTCTGCACATCACTGGGGAAAATGATCCCATGTTCGTAGGAAAATTTTATAGCAAAGGACCAAGTTAAAAACCCTGCAGTTCTGTTCCATTGCAAATATTTCACCCACCTGCTCTGCGCATGTGTGTGTCAGCAAGCACAAGTGTTTTGTGTGTGACTGTTAAACCACACACAGATATAAAAAATACACAGAGTTGTCTTCAAAGCATGCACACTAATCATCTCAGTGACAACTTTCCGTTGTCTTGACTTAGTGTAGAGCCTGATCCTACCAATGCCCACTTCCTGGTGCAGTAATTACTAATATTTACTGTTGTACGGATTTCAAAGGGACTGCTCGTGGTTTAAGTGCAGTGCTGGTTACCAGGTGTCTGCAGGATTGTCTCCTTAGGCTGCAAATTCTTTGGGTAGGGAATAAGTCTTTATAGGGTATGGGAAGAGCCATACCTATAGTGCTAGAGATGTACAGAGTGTATATGAGCCTGACTCTGATCACCCACACACCAGTGAGAATAAGAAGTCCATGGAGTTCAACAGATACTAGCAAGGTGAGATGTAGGAAAGAAACCACTGCTGGGTTAAGATTTTATACACCAAACTTTTTCTTGATATGAATGTTATGGCAAGTTTATAGAGATTCCTAAAATGGGATTGGAACAGCATGACTGGGGCCACAATAAGAGACTTTATACCGAAAAGTCAATGCATTTGTTTGTGTTTGTTCTAAATGAAGGCTACAGGAATTACCCTCACGAGCAGATGCTCAGATTCCTCTGTTCATTGGACTACAGTACAGAACTCCTAGTAAGTGTGTTTACCACTCCTGCCTTCTCAAGGGTTGGCAGATTGCCAGCACGGTAAGCTTATTTCTATCATCCGCTTTCCTAGGAAGGCTGGATAATGTAGGAGAGTTCTGGTCCAAGAGCAGTTAGAACAAGTGACAAGAGGAAATCTAGCTCTTTCACTTGATGTGTGAGCACAACCCTTTATTTGCTCTAGTATCCCAGGGTATGTCTACACTACCACCCTAGTTCGAACTAGGGGGGTTAATGTAGTCAATCGAAGTTACAAATGAAGCCCAGGATTTAAATATCCCGGGCTTCATTTGCATCTTGCCGGGTGCCACCATTTTAAAATCCCTGGTAGTTCGGACTCCGTGCCCACGGCTACACGCGGCACGGAGTAGGTAGTTCGAATTAGGCTTTCTGATTCGAACTACCGTTACACCTCGTGGGCACGGAGTCCAAACTACCGGGGATTTAAAAATGGCGGCGCCCGGCAAGATGCAAATGAAGCCCGGGATATTTAAATCCTGGGCTTCATTTGTAACTTCGATTGACTACATTAACCACCCTAGTTCGAACTAGGGTGGTAGTGTAGACATACCCCCACAGTGTGAAGAGTCCCCACTCTAGAGTTGAATTTCATCCTCATGCACACTTTTTTCAGGTTCTCTGCTCCCCACTTTGCCCTTCTTGTGTACCCCGCATCATAATGGCAAGTTGGGCTGGATGCAATTCCTCTTATCTGACGGCACTGGTGTGCCTCTGTCATACACAGGGATTGCTGCAGAGTGATACAAAGCAGTCTCACCTCTGGTCTGAGTTGGTAGCCCCCCTCTGCCCTCCAAGCTCTTCTCACTGCTGCTAGCCCAGCACTGAAACCCAGGTCTCTCACATAGTATCTGAGTGCTGGACAAGAGGCCAGGCCTTGAGATCTTTTTTATTTTCAAAGTAAGGAGAGAATACTTGAGTATCTGGTTAAACTCTTATCCCCAGACCATCACCCAGATTAAGAGTATTAGCAAGCCATCAGTTCACACAGTCAATGATGTATAAAGACCATATCTTTGAGTCTGAAAGCAACTGTAGAATGTGACATGATATTATCGCAGCGAGTACATGCAGTCTGAAAGGGAAGCACAGCTCTTAGCTTACCTGAACCCTTGGGGGCAGACACAGGTGTAGCCATTGACTGCATCTACGCACACAGCACCGTGACGACATTTGTGGCCTACACAGTCATCGTCGTCAGTTTCACAGTGTTTGCCACTGTAGCCAGGTAGGCACTCACATCTGAAATACAAGGAAGATCATCAGGAGGCTTAGTGTCCATGGTGATAATAACACACACAGGGCAATGCCCAATGTGATCAAGGATGGCAGAGATAACGCTGTGACAACAGGCAAACAGCAATGCTAACCATCAGCTTTCATAATGGCTTGAGCTCTTTCCGACTGCTGGAGTTACACATCTTAGGCCATCATAGCAAATAGAATACCATATAATTTTGCTTTTCCAAGTCTGCCTCAGAGTGGTTAAGTACGAACTTTCTTTGAAATAACAAAGTTCACTTGGCTAAGCTTATGCAAGTGTTTGACATGTTACTGACACAACCTTTAGGAGGACTCTCGTTTCTATTTTAACATGACCTGTTCAGCTCTCTGAATCCCAGCAGGGCTGCCAGGTACACAGGTGATATACAGGAATATTATTTTGGAAGCCACACTGACAGATCCGGGCCAGGGTGGCCAGACACATTGCAGAAGTAGTACAGTCCTGGCGAGAATGGGAAAAGAGGATCCTGATTACATCTCTCCTGTGATTTGAACTTCATAGCAGCCAGAAGGGACAGAGAGAGCTTCAGACAAAAGGGAATTTGCACACAAATAATAAAACTCAATCATGTAAATAACTCTAAGAGGCAAAAGCAGATTTAAAGGAGATGATGATCAGTTTTTAGTCCTCCACTTGTTTGTATTTCCATGGTAGATACTCTATGGGAGCAGTAACAATTCCAAATCACATCATCTGCTGAAATACTGGTGCAATGCCACTTTCTTGCCATTAGATGGCAACTCACCCTTAGGAAGAATTGAGAAGGGATGCAACCAAAACTGCAAACATTGGCTTTTTTATTATTATTATTATTTTTTATTACAGTTGTTCAGTTTGTTGGGTTAAGGTTGTGTCAGCATTTCCATTATAAACCCTATTTTCAGAGGTTTATAACTTGACCATAAAAAATGTGCTCTAGGCTGAAATTTGGCATCCGAGGTCTCAGGCCAGGAGCAGATCCTTTTGGAAAGTTGAGCATACTCGATCTGAGCCTGCAGACACTAAATTTTAGTTTGGCTTGAAGGCATTTTAGTCCATAAACCACATTTCACTTCTCCCAGCTGGATTTTATTCCACAGCTGGAAAATAATAAGCATATCCCTTATAATAATAATAAGCATAAACCAAAACAAAGGGGGAGCCCCAATTATCTCCCAATGTGCACGTGCATTTTACAGCACATTAGCTCTAGCTCTCCCTGAATTCTGGATTACCCCTGGGAGTGATTTTAATCACAGCTCTCACACACTGAAGGGCAAATGTAACCCCTTTCCTAGCTGGCTCTTGAATGGGTGTGGCTCCACTGGGGATGGGCAGTAAGAGGATGGATCGAGGTAGGCTCTGCAGGGACATGTACCCTATGTGGCACATAGGATGTGTGGGGACATGTGCAAGGGTAGGAAGGACTGAGGCATAAGCAAGCCAAAGAAGGTGGACTGGAGGATTCACTGCTACGCAGATACTCCTGTCCCGTCCTTCCCTGCCCCCGCATTATAAGATGCGTCTTCAGATATTAGACTGAAGTCTCTGCAGAGACTCCATAATCCTGAGGGGGAGATGGGAGGAGGGTAGAAGAAGGATTTTTCCACTCCATGAACAATGACAGGGTGCTGGGTTTAGGATTTGCTCCTTAATGAGAACCTGTATGTGATTAATTATCACGTAGTATCCGCTCATCAGGGAATATGGGCCCACACTGACACAGTGCCAAGTACCATGAGCTCCCACTGAAAGCAATGGCAGTCAAGGGCACGCACCACTTTGCAGGAATGGCCCCTGTTCCACTGCACACAATGCCTGAGGGAGGTAAGGTGGCTAGGTGGGGCGTAACTTGGCTAGGAACAGGAAGGACCTGTATGACACCAGTAGCTGAGAGTATAAGGGGCTACAGAGAGAGGTGGCAGTCACTGGTCAGAGTGAGAGAAGGCAAGGTAGGAAGTAGTCCAAGGAATATGATTCAGGACTATGCAGCCTTCAGCTGCTTGTTGTGGAACCCAGTGCAGAGGGAAGCCTGAGGTTCCTTACCAGGCCTTTGAGGGACAGTGAAAGAGAAGACAACCTGGGACAGTGGGTCCCAAGAGACTGAGAACACAACACTCCCTCCCCACCCCAGAAAGGGAAACTACAGTGCCCTGGCTAGATGGCCAAGCTATGGAGTGGAAGCAGCTCAGTCCTGAGAGAGTAAGACATAGCAAGAGAGACAGGGTGAAACCACAGGAAGGGGTGTCAGCCTGGCAGTGCTAATCCCCAGACATGGCCAGTAGGAGGTGCCCCAGCAGTGAGTTAAACCATATATTAAAATTCTCTTTTAAGCATGTGTAAGTGTTCATATTATTGACACTTACATGGCACATTTTATGCATAGACGTGGTTTGTAAAGCAGGCAGCATCATAGTATCTAGGCATCTACAGCCACCTGTCACACTCCTAGCACTATGCTATGGCTGAGTGAAATGAATCAAAGTCAAAGAAGCTTATATGAAAATGCAACTAAAAAGTAGCCCCACTAGAGCAAAACCTAATTATTTAGATTCTGCAATTGAAGCAGCCTTCAGGGGCCAAAAATAGGTGAGGCATGGCATGGTTAGGTTCAGCATTGGCCTACTAAACCCAGGGTTATGAGTTCAATCCTTGAGGGGGGCATTTAGGGATCTGGGGCAAATCTGTCAGGGATGGTACATGGTTCTGCCATGAGGGCAGGGGACTGGACTCAATGACCTCTCAAGATCCCTTCCAGCTCTATGAGATAGGTATATCAGTGTGGTAAGGGTCCTGTAACAACCATACATAGGCATTCTTTAGTTGACATTCCACCTCTTGATAGTCTAATGGCATAGAGTACATCTTGGTGGCTATAGGAGCAGTATGAATAACATAGTGTGAGAGAGAATAAAACACAACTGAAGACCATCCATTCCCCCACCTCTGTAAGAGCTGAGCAATGTTTTTCAGTGATGTTTCTGTCACACATGCAAATAATGGCCATCTAAAGACGTTGTGGGGGGAAATGCAGCATTTAGTCCCTGTTGCTTTTCTGTTGATAAAGCTGCCATGTGTCACTTTTGTGATGTGTATTGGCCATCACGGTAATGATGGGACCACCACTTTTCTCTGCAGGGCTGTATTAAATCACCGTTGCATGTTGTCAGGGAATAATTCCATGATTTGGAATAATAAACCATATTCATATTGTGCTCTAACAAAGCCACGGTGAGTGGAAAAACATGCTTCTTTCCTGCAATCATTTTTAATGGCATTTCCTTGCATTAGCTAATTTTTTAGTCTGGGATACAGAAATCTGGCCTTCTAATCAGAACAGCACACTAAAGATCTGGAGCCTAGAACTGAAGAAAGCCACCTGCAATTTTAGCATTAAAATAAAAAAAAGAAAAGAAAAAAGAGCTCAGGGAGGCAAAAGCACATAGCGTGTCAGTTTGTTTCCCAAGCTGTGATGTGGCCAGGCCCTTTAGAAGCACAGAATTCTTTTCTGTTCTGTAATGATTTTTTTTTAAACTTTGTAAACCTCTAGGCTGGGTAATTTGGAACAACCCTCCAAACACTCGAGGCACCTTCTTTCAACCTGAGCAACTCCTCACATTTCAGGGCCTTGGGAATATCCCAGTTATCTGTTTACAAGGAATGTACAAAGTTCTGCTTCTCTGAACACCAGAGGATCCAAGAAGAAAAAGCAGTTTCTTAGTTTACAGCCCCAAGCTTCTAGCCAATGTCAGACTCAAAAGCTCACACTTTCTAGCTTTCTTCAGGGTCACACTGTGCACTCATTGGTGTATGGTCTCTCTCTCTCTCTTTCTCTCTCTCTCCCACTTCCCTCATGAACCCACCTCACTACTATTATCACTATTAAGGATGTTAAGAGGCAGGTAATTTGATAATCGTGTGGTGGATACAATTTGTATCGACTACACAATTAGTTGATAAGGGAAGGTGCTACCCCCGCTGCAGCTCTGCAGTTCAAATGTAGTAAGACCCGGGCATGCAGGCAACCTGGCTCCTACTGCATTTAAACTGCAGAGCTGCAGCAGGAGTAGTTCTCAGACCTGGTCAGACTAGGCTTGTTCACTCCCAGCTTCGCCAGATCCAGCAGTCCCTGTCTATGGGGGGTCCCAGCTCACCGTGCTGCTGCTGGATCAGGCTCCCCTGACCCCCCCCCCCCACACTGCTGATAGAGGCAGCAGTGTGTGTGTGTGAGGGGGGGGCCAAGTGGCATTGCAGAGTCGGTGCTGGAGGGGAACCAGTTTTTAAGCCAGCTCCCCCTTCCTGTTTGCTGCCTCTGACATAGAGGCAGCAAGGGATAAGAGGGGATGCAAGTAGTCAACTTGACTACCAGATAATCTCAGCTTCTTGGGTAGTTGACTAATCTTCCTGTTTGCTGCCTCTGACATAGAGGCAGCAAGGGATAAGAGGGGATGCAAGTAGTCAACTTGACTACCAGATAATCTCAGCTTCTTGGGTAGTTGACTAATCAACTGCTCTTTTACATCCCCAATCACATCATCAGCAAAACCCGTCTGCCTATACTTGATTTGCATTGCCTGCCTCTTCAGATAGATCTCCATCACAGCTGGGAACAAGCCTCCCAGTCTGGACAGATAGACTCATGCTAGAGGGGTTCAAGCTAACATGCTAAAATCACAGTGTGGATGTTGCAGCTTGGGCAGGAGCTCAGGCTCTTAAATACAGGGATTAGAAAGACATTTTACTTAGTCTTATGTTTGGAGAATGGGTAGGAGAGGTTTGTTCTACTAAACCAGCTATTAGGCTACGCTAGCTTTGACAGTGTTTTCTTAGGTACTCTAAGGCTGTGTCTAGACTGGCAATTTTTTCCGCAAAAGCAGCTGCTTTTGTGGAAAAACTTGCCAGCTGTCTACACTGGTCGCTTGAATTTCTGCAAGAACACTGACTTCCTACTGTCTGAAATCAGTGCTTCTTGCGGAAATACTATGCTGCTCCCGTTCGGGCAAAAGTCCCTTTTGTGCAAAGCTTTTGCGCAAAAGGGCCGGTGTAGACAGCTCAGATTTGTTTTGCGCAAAAAAACCCCGATTGCAAAAATGGCGATTGGGGTTTTTTTTTTGCGGAAAAGTGCGTCTAGATTGTCACGGACGCTTTTCCGCAAAAAGTGCTTTTGCGGAAAAGTGTCCATGCCAATCTAGATGCTCTTTTCCGCAAAATGCTTTTAACGGAAAACTTTTCCGTTAAAAGCATTTGCGGAAAATCGTGCCAGTCTAGACGTAGCCTAAGACTTTCAGACATGGGTCATCGTAAACATCAATTAATTACTAATTGATTTTCATAAGTCCAAATACATACTTGCTGATGACCGAACTGGCACTTCTCTCCTGGGTTTATTGTCTACAAGTGAAGTGGTGGATAAAAATGGCCACACTGCTGCTTGAGCCGGTGTCATTCTGTAGATAGCACCATTTTAGTACCTCAGATTAAACACAAGGCATGATCACAGCGATATTTAATATGTACCAGGGAAGCAGACTGCTGAGTGGACTGGTAACAGGATAAGATGCTCTCCATCATAGTGTTGCTGGTTTGAATTTGGCCCAGCTCAATAGGGCCCAAACATCCCAACCAGAAGCTGTTCCATGTGGTCTACTTGTGAGTGGGCAGAGGTCGTTGTAACAATAAAAAACAGAACTGACATTCTGACTAGAGGCCAAGGACTGGCTGGGCACAGGAGCTAAACTACCCTTAAGCCTGGACACAGTCCACACCCTGATGTAAGACAAAGTGGTGGAGAAGCCTGCTTCACCATTACCTGTTAAGTGCCTGGTCTCTGAATACATCTCACTGTGGGAGATTTTTGCACTGTAATTTCATTACTATTTTTACAGCAGTACCTGGATGAGGGTCAGACCTCCACTGTATATGGCACACATCATAAAGAAAATATCCTGCACTGCAGAACTTACAACTGCTACAATGTCACTGCTTTGCAAAAGAGTGAATGGAGTGTGTTAGCTCCATTCAGCACTGGCGATTAATGAGAGGCGGGGTTTTTCCACCCCGGTGGATACTTCCGAGAACACACAAAGGAATGGTGCAACAGTTGGGGTCTAAGGCTGTCTCCATCCTCTCAAATCTCTAGTGATACCGAACACCTTGAATTAATTTATGAATATTCAGTTCTGGAACCTGTCAGAGGACTTTGAAGCAGGCGTAGGAAATGACATGCTCCCTGTCCCTTTGTAACATGCTGCAGCTAATGAATTAACTACATGATGGATTAGCTGAATGAGGATGTGTGAAGCAATGTCAGGTTGTCAGCATGTACTGCTGTGCCACTCAAGGAGGTTACTTCAGGAACAGTCCTAAATCATTTAAGAGTTTCCTTGCCTCCAGGAGCTGGAAGGGGCTCTTTCCTGAAGTCCTTCACCTGTCAAAAAGCCGGGCGACCCAGCATGGAACATCTGGTTAGTGGAGAATACCGTGGGTTCAGCTCTCTGAAAGTGCTATGAAAATGTCTGTTTGTAGCGTGGCTGCCTGACAATTTAGCTCTCACTCCCCTTAACTGCTATGAAATTCATTATCCTAATTTATTATTTTGTAGTAAGCAGAAATGTGTTATGTGCTTCACAGGGCACAACTCCTTGCCACAACACATGCTAAGTTAGACCCTCATAACGGTCAGACCAAGAATGCTACTGCAGCATACATACCTCCGTCCCCTGCCCCCGTTTGGAGTGGGCAAATCCCCTGCTCCATGGTCTCCCCATTTTCTTTCTATCAAAAGGAAGGGACTAAGGCACTATGTTGCCAGCTTTGGCTGGGAGTGGGGAGCGCAGCACAAGCTGGCTTCAGCTTCCCGACAGGTTGCACCTCTCTGGTCCGGCACCCTTGGGCCCTGACTGGTCCCGGACTAGGGAATTTGCCAGACCAGGGGAGGTCAGTGCACTGGGGTCTCCACTTTTCCTTCTGGTCACGCTGCTGCCACCTGGGACTCTGTTCTCCCCATGGGGAAGCTCTGCTTCTGTCCCCCCCACCCTGGCTCTGTTGCCACTCAGGATTCTGCTTTTTCTCTGTGGCTTTGCTGCCACCTGGAAGAGTGGACTGCGCTCCAGCTGGCAACTCTGCTGCCGCCAGATGCTCTCCCCAGCAGCCCCATGCCTGGAACTTCACGCTCTGCCCAGCAGTCCTCCTGCTGCCAGGGTCTCTCCCCAACAGCCGGCTGCAGCCCGGACTCTGTGTTCCACTTACCCTCGTCTGGCAATGCTCCTGGCCCCACAGGGTCACTCTGATGATGCCATACCAGGGGTGTTGCCAGACTAGGGAAGTCCAGATTACAGAGTAGTCAACCTGTATAAACTTTCTTGATCTCCTCCCACCTCCTTGCCCTTTTCCATGTTAGAATGTGTGTGGGTGTTTCCTCCAAACTTCCCACAACTGGCCTCCATTTTTGAACCTCTGGTGTGACTTATCCTATTAACAGCAGTGGAAGTAGGGCTCTCACTCTCGCTGTTTTCTTCTGGAAGCCCATCTTTGTCAAGAATGTACCATGCTCATCTCAAGCATCTTCCATCCAAGGTTCTCCAAATGCGTTACAGACATTAGTGACATAAGCCTTCCCTGACCTCTGGCTTGTAGGTCAGTATCACTCACATTACCCAGAGGAGGTTCAGAAAGAAGTGACTTGTCCAAGGTCCCTCAGGAAGTCTTTATGAGAGCTGGGAACAGTATCCAGATCTCCTGATTCCCGTCCTTGTGCTTTGGACACACAAGACCATCCTTCTCTTCTTGATGCAAATGTGATTTTTTTAAAATATTGACTCTCTCTCAGAGGAAAATTACATGGTTATTTTTTAGTGTTTGACATCTCAAATGGGTAGAGTCTGTAGCTGCAAAAACGAGGAGTCCTGTGGCACCAGATTTATTAGAGCATCTGGGTGGTGGCAGTGTACCATCCAAGGACTGGGAATAATAAATCTGTTAGTCTCTAGGGTGCAACAGGACTTCTTGTTGCTAATGTTTGAAGTGAGCCTGGTTTTAGGAGTTGCATTTCTCTGGGAAGTGTCAGTTATATTTCTCTCCATATCAATACGAGACCAACTCATTCTGCTAACGAGAAGACTTATTTTCAGTTTCCTAAATTGTTTCTTCTGTGGCTGGACAATGTTCATCCATTCAAGCAAGAGCAGGCTTTTTGAACACCACCAGACTGTCATGTGTCCTCTGTCCCGTCATATGTTTGAAGAGTACGGTGAACTGTTCATGCTATCAGAATGCACTAGCAGTTCCAAAACAGAGGATACATGGTATCTAGGAATTTATGAATCTATGTGTATTCTGTACTGGAAACACCATCCCTGAGTAACTCGCCATGCTCTGCAGTCATATGACCTTACTTCCAATTTTCCCATTCCTAAATGTAGTATGTAGCCATCTGGAATGACATTCCAAAGACAAGATTTAATATGCCTAAAATTGAAAGGAGTGCAAATCTAATCCAGGCATCCAGTTTTCAGGGGCTAGCCAGAATTTTTCCTAAATTTTGGAGGTGAGGTAGGGGAATATTTACTCATTTTTGAAAATAGGTACTGTTTACATTCAGTTCATTTCTGCTATCTAAATATGAATAACTATAATATTAATAAAATACATGGTACAGCCACGTTTAGCTGTCATTTTTGTTAGCTACATCTACCGTGTGCGATAGCTTTTCTAATCACAACACCGGCTTTACAATTGCTAAATGATTAATTGCCAGAATTAATCACCATGTGTTGAAATCTATTCTGTACGTTATGTAGAGGTCACTCCATATGGGGTGAATCCTGCTCTCCTTGGACCAAGGAGAACAAAGGACTCTTGCAATGTGGGAATGGCTAAAGCAGGGGTGGGGAACCTTTTTTGGATCAGGGGCCACTGACCCACAGAAAAATCAGTCACACATGAGAAGCAAAGTGAGAAGCCCCTGACTGATAAGGAAAAAGACACTCCTCACATTCCCCTCACGGACCAGAGCCTAGAGGGGCCCAGGCTAGTAGATTTTGTGGGTGGGTGGCAGGGGGACTGGAGCACCAGCGTGGGCTCCCCAGTGTTTGGGGATCCTTGAGCCTCAGGAGCCAGATTCGTACAAGCTTGGGGCCAGATACCTGAGATTCCTCACCCCTAGGTTAAAGTGATGTTGATATGTCAGCCTGACAGAGCGGCCACCCTTAAAACCTTGCCTATTACCTCAGTATTTGCCATTTTCATTATATTTACCACAGGGAGACCTACAGACCCCACATGTCCCTAGGACTCATTAGTTATCTAGAGGAAGTGGCAGGTGTTTTGAAAGGGTGACTGCTGTCCTTCACTTGATTTTATTTGATAATACTCAGCTTTGGAAACACACTAATTGGGAGCGGCCCTAGACTAGCTGCCAGCAACTGGCGCCCTTGGCGAACCATGCAATAGGCACTCCCACCTCCAAACCCCTCAATGATATTGCGCCACTATTTGGCGCCTCATTTAACTTGGCACCCTAGGCAACCAGCTAGTTCGCCTATATAGACGGGCTGCCCCTGACACTAATTATTCTGGAATAACGTAATTTAAATTCTGAGGAGCAGACCACCTCACACATATTACTTTTCAGTTTGGCTCTTTAGGGCAAAGTCATCAGCAGTTTGACTGCTCTGAAGTCAGGCAAAGAAGCTGCCCCAATGTGTGACAAGGATACAGAAACACTCACCTGAGTCCTTTGTCAAAGGAGATGCATTTGGACTCATGCTTGCATGGATTTAGCTCAGGAACACAGTGGTTGATCACTTCATCGCAAAGCTCACCTGTGGAAAAGAAAATTAATAAGGCTGTAACACACCTGCTACCAACACAGCTTTGCTGAAACCGCTCCAACCATGCTGTCCAGGGATGATAAACACACCTGCCCTTATGACTACAGGTCTTACTAAACTGAGGGGATCCAGCAGGTCAAGAGGCAGCCCCAGGACAACTGTGGTTATGGCAGGACAAACTGATTAAGGCTCAGCTTGCTGCGTACTGGACAGTGCAACTTCAGCTACACTTAGCCACTCTTCAAGAACTGAGTACTCTGGGTACAAAGCTTATCTCATAAAAACCTGAGAGGCCTGATTCAAAAGCCCTGGCACTCAAGCCCTCTCAATTTCAGCTGGAGTTCTGCCAGAGTAAGGACTGTAGGGTCAGTTGCTGACCCCAAAGCCGCAAGCATCAAAGAGAACCCGTAACATACATGTGGATAGGCACATTAGCAGAATCCTTAAACTTTTCACACCAAGCAATACTTTAATCATAGCCCTAGGAGATGATCTGACGTCATTCAGAAAAATGGCTTTTCAGTAATGAGGAACAGCTTTAGGGCTGCACATAATTATACAACCCCCAATATTTACAAGAAGAGCACTAACTCTATTGTACTAATACAAGATACTGTTTTCTATAAAAGGTTCTTAAATGCAAGCACTGGTCAGCTGTTTCTAGGGACTGTGTGCAGAATTCAGTGCCTTTCACTGGATTTGTATAAACTTTTCATAATGAACTATTCAAAACCAGAGAGGTTATTTAAGCACTATCCTTCTGCTGAGCCATAAATTATTAGGTGACACTTCAGTACCTCAGGTCTTGAGAACCTGCCAGAGACGGAGCATAAACTTTTGCCTTTGAAACAAACTTCTTGAAGAGGCTGGGCAGGTCAACTATCCTCACTATGGAAACACTCAAACGAAATTCAGTCCCAGCACTCCTTTTGCAGTAATGCTGAATGACTGCATCTGCACAATTTCAAGGATACATGCATGCACAATACATACATATGTTCATGTGTGCGCGCACACAGTTCCTCTGGAAGTAACAACCAACCTGTAAAAGTGATGTTCTCTGGACATCCTCTGATAAAGCCTTCCAAGTTCAGGGTGGCACAAAATGGCCCCATAGCAAGTAAACAACACAGCAGCCTGTACTATTATCTATTATCTAACACAGCAGCCTGCACTATTATCAATGTTTTCTGCACTGTGACTCCGACCCTGGGTTCTGCTAAGGCCTGCCGTGTGCTACTGCACCAATCAAACTGGTCCAAAGGCCAACATACCTAATCCCTGGAAAATTTCTCTGCATGGGGGCTCCTCTCATGTGGTTCACATCCATTGTAGCTGCTCCCACCCTGTCTTCTCTCCTAGCTGGTGGTATGGGAGGCATGACTAGGAAAAAGGGGGCATTGGCCAGGGCACCCCTGTGACGGCTCAGAGCCCTCCCTATCTAGTGTTCGTTTGTTTGGTGCAATGTCCAAATAAAAAGTGTGACCTCCAAAAGCACTGTAATAGCCTTCTCAGGATTTGTGCCCTTTTTCTAGCCAGTCTGCCCAGAGGTGAACCCTCATGGTCATTAGTTTGACTGTAGACAGTTTGACAATCATCACTTAGTTCTGACATAGCACTGGACTTGAAATATCTTGGACAAATACAAGGAATGCATCTGGTTTGGAATGGGCAATATGCCAAAGTACTTTCCATCTTTGAATCCATAGGGACGTCAGAGAAACCAAAGCCAATATTCTGATGGGATTGAGTTTCTGATATTTGTTCTTGCACCGCATTCTCCATCCAAAGCAAGCTGGCACATTCAGTTGTTGCCTGTATGACTACTGACACGACTGCTGAAGACATCCAATAACAATTGGAAGTTTACTTTTGCCTCCAAAATGGCTGAGTTTACTTTTACCTCCACAACCTAATTTATTCACCTAGCCGAGAAACTGATAACCTGGTATGGCTACATGGTGCTAACTGACCCGCAGCATGGCTGCAGCTGGCCTGGATCAACTGACTCAGGCTCCCAGGGCTTGGGCTGCCAAGCTGAAAATTGCTGTTTTGATGGAGGCTCAGATTGAGTCTGAGCTTTGGGACCATAGGTGCCGACTCCTGGGGTGCTCCACAAACAGTATGTGCTCAGTACCCACCAGCCAAGGCTAATCAGTTGTTTGGTGGCTGGGAGAGGGTGGGGAGCAGCAAATGGGCAAGCTGGGCGCAGGGGAGGGCTTGGAGTGGGGTTAGGAAAAAGGCAGAGAGAGGGTGTGGCCTTAGGGAACAGTACACCCAGGGAAAAATAAAATTCAGAGTCTATATCTAGGACCCCCACTCTTGCAGGGTCCCAGGGCTCGGGCTCCAGGCCAAACCCAAATATATGCACAGCAATTTTTCAGCCCAAGAACCCAACCCCATGACTCTGTCAGCTGACCCAGGGAATCCACAGCTTCTTGGTCCCTGCATAGGTATACCCTGTGAGGCCAACCTTGGCTTCTGACTTCCCTCAGTTTGCCCTTTTCGTCTATTTCTACTAGCTTTAAACATGACAAGTGTTCCTTAAAACGAATGCAAGAGACATTCCAATGGCATGGTTCAATGACAGGAACGCATAGCGCTCTAAAGCCTCCCAGTATCTTCTTGAAAGGCATCCTTTTTTGTTAATAGGCTGCATTAGAGATAGATGCCTTAAGTTGTAACTTTGCTACAATATCCATACAAATTTTATTTAAAAAAAAAAGATAAAAAAGTTAAAGGAAAACAGACTTTTGGGAAAAGTCAGAATTGTGGTGTAAACTTCCAAAGGAAATCATAATTCTTCTTAAAGTATTTTTCTCAGTTGGCTTGGAAAACTGACAAATGCATAGAAATCCAGTAAAATTTCCCCCAAAATATATACACTTGTCAAATATTATGACTCACTGTGTCATGCTGAAAACACCACTGTCAAAATGTAGGAGGATTTCAGGCATGGTACCAAACACTGCATCCAACTAATTTATCATTGTTCACAGAAAACTTGGAAGTTTTCAGGAACCTTCCTTTACTTATTTTTTCTCATCTCTCTCTCATTTCAGTTTTCAACATTTCCAGATTTCTCTTGGGAATGGGATGCAACTCAGACAGCCTCATATTGGGGAAGAAAATTCCTGTTGATAACTGAACAGGCTTCACCAATGTTTACTGAATGGCACACAGCATGGGAGGGAAAGAACACATTTTCTAAATGGCGATTCTCAAGGCAATCTAAATAAAGATTCTGTTTCCTTCAGTTAGAAAATATTTGGGGCAAAAATCTGTCTTCAAACAGGGGTATGCATCATTCATTGGCCATCTGCCTGCATGTTCCTGAGGGGAAAATCTGGCCCATTTTACTTCTGTGCATGGCTTTGGGCTCCTAGTTATTATAGCAACGAATGATCTGTCTCATGTTTTTCTTTGAATAGTGGTATTGGGTTCAAAATGATACTTCAGCGTGTTGTGTCATTTTGTTATCTATTTGCACACCTGATATGCTGTGCTCTATGCAGCTTTTGAAAATGTTATCAAAAATATTTTATATAGAGGGCATTCCACTACATTAAAGCTACGGCTACACTAACAGCAGCATGTATATGCTCCCCCACCCCAGAGTACAGGGATGCATAGCAGTGCATATGGTGAAGCCTAGTTTAAGGGAGTAGAGTCAACACATGCCAGAACCTTAGGGGATGTACCCTACAGGGTCACTACACCAAAGTACTGCCTCCCACATCTGCACAACTGCCTCCACAGTTACACACCGCAGATGCAGCCAGCTTTCAGATTTCACCATGACATGCAGCGACACAATACCTTAGACTCCATCACCAGTGTAGACATGGCCTAAGAAATGTACTCACCATTGATAATGCCTTCCCTATCCCTCACCAACGTCTTCCACCCCACTTCCCCTATGTAATTCCTCCCTAGGTACATACAGGTTTAAACACCTAACATACATACGTAAAACCAGCATGTTCATTACTCAGCCAACCAATAGAAAACCCACATTGTACATCCCACACCTTCCTTTTCTACCAAAGCCCATGAGAATTCATGGCTTTGCATACCCTGCTGGTCAGCCGAATAGGGTTATGTCAGACCAGGAAGGAGAAGCAAGTTGAAAGTCTCACTGAAAACCACTGAGCCATCAGCCTTTTCCTTTCTAAAGTAGCGGGGCACTAGCTCAGTCATCAAGCTGGGCGAACAAGCTGTGGCAAGATATGAAGAGTCTTGGTTGGTGAGTCTTGCCCATATGCTCAGGGTTCAGCTGATCTCCATATTTGGGGTCGGGAAGGAATTTTCCTCCAGGGTAGATTGGCAGAGGCCCTGGAGGTTTTTCGCCTTCTTCTGTAGCATGTGGCATGGGTCACTTGTGGGAGGATTCTCTGCATCTTGGGGTCTTTAAACCATCGTTTGAGGACTTCAATATCTGAGATATAGGTGAGAGGATTATTCTAGCAGTGTGTGTGTGGGGGTCATACTAGATGATCATAATGGTCCCTTCTGACCCTAATGTCTATGAGTCTAAGAGAAGATGTTTACCTAAGCAGGTGCCCAGGCATTACATTACATGCATTAAATGTATGATGTTTAAGATTCGGAATTGCACACTGGAACAGAGTGGTAGCGTGTGCAGCTCATAGCCTACCAGAGACCAAGTGCTGAATGAGCAAGGGGAGTAAACTGATGTCCTAGTCTGGAACCAGAACCTTCCGGCTTGTGTGGGGACCCCATGGTGGAGCCACCTGGGTTAAACCTGCCTTGTTATGAACCATGCCCTGGATCACTGTGCTTTATCCTATGCTTGACTATGTCAATCTGGCACCGTTCACTACACTGACCCTTCCAAAGCCACAACAAAGTAATTACCACACTCCTACAGCATTCCGCCTTTTTTATTTGGTTCAGCGAAATCCCCACGAGGGGACACTGGTCATACTAAAGTAATCCCTTCTCACAAGCCTCACCACTTAGAAATAGCT